CACATTAAGAGCTAGAGGGGAGAGAAAAAAGCTAAATAGAATAGAAAAAACCCTTTGTAAGTCAAAGGTCCCCCCATTCTTGTCTTGTGATGTCTGTCTTCATGGTTCTCCTATAATACAAAGAAGCGAGTTGTTTGCCACAGCCCAAGATGAATGGCAGCAAGAGGACAACAGTCAATGATAACCCCTGTGCCAACTGTCGAACATGGCGTATTCGCTATAAATACACAACAATTTATGATGCATGTTTTAAGTTATGCATCTTCTGACCAAAACCTCTATAGAGATTTCATGAGCTTATTTTTATCGCTATTTAATGCCGCAGAAGGTTTTGCCATTGCTGTTCATTTGCTGTTGACATATGGCTAACGATGTGGTCATACTAGACTAAGTACGCACAATTATGACGAATTCGGGAGGGGAAAGGATTAATGTCATGTTCTAGGGCTTCTGTGTTTAATCGCTGATACGTTACAAATGATTAGAACAATTTAAAAAGTTAACACATTTTATCTTGCAACACTGTAATCATAGTTTTAGATGTTTATTTTTGTAGTGAGCCAAGAGGTCTCGCATTGTGTAAAAGAAATTAATTAGTACAAAACCCATAATTTCAACAATATTTAAGGAAACCGCTCAACACAAAAAAAAGTCATTGTTCCTTTCTTTGCCCTCCCTTTCGTCTCTTCTATACCAAGACCTGGAAATCTGTGGCATTGACTCTCATCAGGTGTCCTTCCTGTATCAATCTCTGATCTTGAAGTCTGTTTAAGGGGGAGTGAGAGAAAAAGGAGAGAGAGAAGGAGAGGAGAATGGTGATAACACCAAGACAGGATGCTCTCTGTGCAATCCGATAGCTTCGCCAAAAACATCCTGACCTCAGCTCTCCCTCCTTCTTCTCTGTTTCTTTCCTCCTTTCCTTTTTATCTGTGCTTATGATTAGAAACTTGAAAATAAAGGTTGTGAGCAAACCAAAGATTCACCAGGATTGGACAATCCTGTATATGGATGGACTCCTCGAGCATGAAAAATGAGAACTTTTACCTTTCAAAATAAAGTTATATACATTCTTTGGTCCCCTAAAGATGCTTTAAGTAAAAAGAATAGTAAATATGATTTGAGTAATTCAGTCTTAATAATCTAAATAATTCCTCCCACTGCTAAGAATGTTTTTACTTTAGGTTGTGAAAGGCAGAAATGTTTTTTTCCATGGTTATAAAAGGCTCTTCATGGATCAATCAATGCCAATAAAGAACCGTTAAAAGGGAAACTGTTCTATAGAAACAAATAGTTCTTAAGAACAATTGACTATTAGGTTCTTTGGAGAAACAAAAAAAAAAAAAAACATCATGTGAGGAACAAACTCAAATACGATTATTAATCTTGAATGACTAGATCTTTATCATAATAAATCTAACATCAAATATTTATTTTTTGGAGATAGATCACATAAACTGTCATTTAATAGTCCAAATTGACAACTTGTATGGCAATTTTAGAGAGCATTTTGTCATTTTTAGTGTTTGATAACAGACAAAGAGACTAAAATTAGGGCTGTGTGATTTGGGGAAAATATCTAACTGCAATTTCAATTCCGATTTGATTTACGATTTAATTCAAGTTTCAGTCTGATTTTAATTCAATTCAAGCTTCATCTCAATAATATGTAAGCCATTGCAATAATTCTGCAACAGCTCTTAAAAATTACCTGTTTTTTTCAGTGTCTGTGGCTTTGAAAGCAAAATATTCCCATATTACAAATGCTATTTTTCTTTTATATTAATTCGTCTATTAATGCTTCCGAAGCAGCAGATGCCATAATCCCACTTATCAGCTCTTTCCTGTTAGTTTTCGTTTTTTTATTTTTATTTTGGGCGTAGTTTAGTTGCACAACTCTTATTGAGCAGATCGAAAGTGTGCTCACTCAATTGTATAGTTAAAAAGGCCCGGTCAGATCACACAATTTCAGCACAATATCCTTGAGGTAGGGTGTCGTGGGGAGCAAATGGATGTCGTGACACAAGATTCAATCGTTTCTTCTCATGTAATGTGGCATAGATCACAACAACCAACACCATGTCTGCCAAAACTCACCACACCATTGAAGAAAGTCTAGCATGTTTAATTTTTTTGAGATTTCGCATTTATTTCCTATGGTGGTAACTTTTGACTAGGAACACCACAGGCGTAACAAGGTTGACTAAAACACTGAAAATTCAATGAAAGAGGTGATAAAAACTGTTATATGTTCAAGTGTGAAGGATATCAAGGCCTTTAGGCATTCAGATAAAAAACACAATATTTAAGAGTGTTTATAGTTGTAAACCGGTCATATTTGACCCGAGCCGACAGGAAGGTTAATATTATTGTAAGTAATTGTAATGTTAATAAAAGTAATAATGACTAGAGTAATAATTTATTTTGAAACTGCATACAATAAGAAACAGGTATTTAAAATTGTAATAAATATTTAACTATATATATATATATATATATATATATATATATATATATATATATATATATATATATATATATATATATATATATATATATATATAGTTATTCTACGTGCTATTTTAAACTCAAAACCAAATCCAATCTGATGCCTCGTTAACCTCAAAGCATGTTGGTTTTTCAGAATAAATAGAAACAGAGAAGTTTGTGCTCAGAGAAGTACCTTGACTCATTCTTTCAGCAGTTTGGCATGAGAACCCACATACATGTGAGCCTCTGGTTTCCTCAAGGGGGAGAACTTACTCAACCCACAAGTACTGAATGACTAATGTCACTGTGCCCCCTCCGTCTGCTCCGTCTGACACGCCCATTACTTTCCTCGCCCGCTTTTTCCCTCTCTTTCTCCTCCACTTCTCCTCGGGCCCTCACACTATCTTCAATAATTGATCAACCTAGCCAAGGTCCAGACAGCAGCCATTAACTGCAGCAGTATGGTCTCACTCAGTCATATCAACTGTTAGCCAAGTCCTTTTCCCAAAATCACATTTTTTTTTCCTCCAGACCAGACTGAGGAACTACAAATGTCTGTTTCTGTGACAAAGTGTCATCCTGTGAAAGGATGTGAGGACTCTGGTTGACTGTTCAGAGAGTTTTACAGAGAATCATGTTACAGAGCAGAAGACAAAGAGAAGAACTAGTCAAGGTTACTTTCTGTCAAACTACAAAGTGCTTTCCAGGTTTTCAGGTTCAACTTTTTGTTTCTATAAGGGGACAAATGTAAATGTCAAGGATAAAGAACATTTATTGATCTTGCAGTAAAACAAGCGTCTATGTAACTGGCACCAATACGATCAATACAACTACAGTATCTGCTGTGCATAATATCTGCCTGGTTTTATGAGTTCCTGAGTTGATTCAGTTTCACGGTCATAGAAATGAAGATTCAAAACTGAATGTTTCCCTAATTGTCCAAATGCAAATGCATTTACAGAATGCAATGTTTGAAAAACAAACAAACAGGATTTTTTTTGTCAATATTAACATGGAATCTCAGATTTCAGAATCATCTTTTAACGTCTGAACTTCACTAAACGTTTGTGAAATGAAGTCCAAAATTTCAAATTTTGCCAATGACATAAACTGTACCTTAGTTCAAGTGGAAACTCATATTTAGTGCATCTCTACCTCTATTTTTTCTTTTTTGCTTTTATTTATTATAGTATTAAATATACGTGAATGGACATCAAGAGGTACACTAAAAGATTGATTCACTGAAGTATATAATGTGTAATCTCTTTTAAAATAGCTGAAATATTTTGATACATTTATTCAAAAAACCCATTCAATGTCCAAATTTTATTAGTTGGCTAGAAAAACAAATGACTCAAGAGAGCAGAATCTTGCTAAAACTATGCACTGCATTACACATTCATTTTATTTTTACTTAACCTGTCAGTGAGGTCTTAATTTAATGTTTGAATAGATCTGTCTTAAAAACAAATTACAACCATTGTTTAATTGTTTTTATGTCACCATCAAATTGGTATACATCTGTGCTTAAATATATAAAAATAGCCTTATGTGCAACTTGAATTCTCGTTTTTACATTTTAGAGTTGTTCATTAAAAAAAGTTGGCACTAATAGCCTAGTGGTTATGTGTGCCGATATTTAGCACTGAGGAGGTAAACGGCCAATCCTTTCCCTCTTTCTGCCTCCCAAACTTTCCTGTCTATAATCTCTACTGTCCAGTCATAAACCCTCCTAAAATATTAAATATAATAATTATTGTTTTAAATATTTGAAGTTTAATTTCTGTGTTCAGTTATAATTTATTTATATTAAGTTAGGAAGTAAATAAATAAATAATTGAACGAGCAAACAAACAAACAAACAAACAAACAAACAAACAAACAACCAAACAAACAAACTAACTAACTAACTAACTAACTAACTAACTAACTAACTAACTAACTAACAAATGTTTGCTGTTCTAAGCTGCTCTGCTTTGCTGGCTTTAAATGCATTTTGTGCCTGTAACTACTTGCCAGTTAGCTAAATTTACTAAAAAAGTTTAGGACAAGAAGACCTAATAGACTAGCATAAGTCATCTGGTTTAACCAAGCTTAACTGTTTAGCAAGCTATTTATTTATTTATTTATTTTTTATTTTTTATCATGGATGAAAAACACTGCAGATAATGAACAGTTCTCAGTGATCTGAGAGGCAAGTTGAAAAGGAAAACTACTAGCTAATGCAGGAAGGCCCCTCGAGGGCCATCTTCTACCTCTGAGTTGACTCCACCTAAAGCCCTGAAGCATGTGGCATCATTCCATCATTGCCATCTCTGCGTGTTTGTGTTCTCCACCCACCCGGCCCCTGCTAAAGTAATATTCCACAGCCATAAGTGAGAGATTGTGGCATGCGAGGACGCCAACAATTAGCATTGCGCACATCACCTACTTGATCTATTTCTGTCTAAAACAACCCATCAAGCTTGTGTGAAGGAAGTGTTCTTCGGCTCCTTCCGGTCAGCGTGACTCACCTGTCTGTTGCGTTCATCCATAATCCGTGTGATCTGAATCTTTTTTCTCCCCATTGTCCCCGTCTTTTCGTCTCTCTCTTTCACCAATGAACTTTATTTTTTTTCGTCCCTCTGTTTTTTCGCTCGCGTTTTCTTCAAACCAGGCTTTCTTCTCTCGACTTCTTCTGCTCAGTTCAAAGATTCCAGTAGCTGTACCTGCGAAAGGCAGAGAGAGAGAGGCATTAAGTCAGATGAAAAATGGCAAAACCGCGGAGTTAAAAAAACAAAAAAAAAAAACAGGGAAAGGCAGAGTCTAAGCCACATGGGACAGCAAATAAAGACAAAAGAAACCGTTGACGTTCCGAGGCAGCGCTGTTTTCTGCCATCAATATCATGCAAATCAGATTCAGCGCTTCGGCTGCGACTATGAGACTAGACAGCACTGTCATGCTCTCTCTACAGTCACAGAGAATTTGACAGTGTTTTGGAAGTGCCACTAACTTAACAGCTCTAATCATTTGCAGTGTAACGTTTACTGTCGCCTGAACGACAAGCGGCAGCACATTTCTAAACAACGGCGGTGTAACATTGTCACTAGTGCGCTGAATGATTCCGTCCTGAAAGAGAAACCATTACTCTCCATGTTTCGCAAGATCTGAAAAAGAACTCGAATGGAAACCTGGGCCATCCTGATTTAGGTTTCTTCAAACTCACTTTAGAGTATGATCCTTTTGTCACGTCACGGCTTTGCTCCGCTCCCTATTTCTCAGGGAATGAAGTGTCTCAGGGGCCTACATTGAGACCTCCTGCTGAGCTCTTTCTGCTACTGAAAGGCTGCCCTCACCCGAGAAACTAACCCAGGCTTTCTTTAAAATGCTCTCAGCTCTTAGATGCACGCTCGTGATCACAGAGCACACACGTGTGCGCGCACCGGTGTTTGTGTGCATGTGCGCACCTCTTTGGTGCCGTAAAGTAGGCCAACCCGATTCATCTCTGGGAGGAGCGGCAGAAGTGTTGTTGTGTTTTATTCTGACAGTAGAGGTGATAACGTCCCTCGTTATGCAAATGAGCGTCCCATTATTTAAGCTCGCTGTAATGCAGTAAAGCTGTCAGTGGTGTCACGTTAAAAGCCCTCCATTGCGTTCTCTTTATTCTCCGGCTCTTTTTCTTCTTTCTGAACCAGATTTCACCTGCCAGAGTGAGCGAGAAACATTGATGTAGCTACACCTAAAGGATACGCTGCGCTTCTCGCGTCGATGCGTGCCGCCACGCACCTCTCATTTATTAATAATCAAGTGTTTATGGGTGGAGTAGGCGTTTGAAAGTCTTCCGGAGACTTTTCCATATGATATGAGCTAAACCGCAAGCAAACTCTAATTTCATTGGCTCAGATTCAACTTCATTTCATACACGGTCTGGCTGGTCTACGAAATTCCACACAGAATTGTTGGGCTGCTGTTAAACGCGTAGTTACTTCTTGTGCTGATATTGATTTAATTTATTTCCCATTGTCTCTAATAATAACTCGGTAAGATTACAGTCTATTAGCATACAAACAACAGCGTTCTGTACTTCACTGTGTTGAGGGACTGTGAACAAGCACATCTTAACATGTAAGTGGCGAAATCTGAGGCGGCTTGGTGATTGTTTAGAGGACCACTGCAAAAGACATAAAACAAGGAGCAAAACAACTCAACTACAAGCCGGTGATAATGACTGGACGTCTGTGTAAATATTTACCCATCATACAGCCAGCCAGCCAGCAGAACTTGGCGTCACTGAGTGCGGTTTCGCTGCTCGCATTTGAAAGCTGATTAAGTTGTTAACTCAATCAAAACAGGGACTATGGCTGCGACTCCAAGAAGAGCTTCCTCATTGATAGCGACAGGTCTGTAATCCCTGATTCAGCCACGCCACAGCCTCAACGTGGACCTGCCATGTCTTACGTAATTTTAAAAGGCTTTTAATGGGTTTCATCTGGACTCCTGTTTAGAATGGCACCACAAATTGCGAACAGTTTATTGCTTTAACTATCAAAAGACCACCAGTAAACATCTGTAAACAAATGATGACAGACCTTTTCGTAGCAATTACAATTCCTTTTCCAACAAAGTTTTATTTATTTAGACAATTATGTGACATTGATTATTGACAATACAGTTGTCAATAATGATTTGTATGTAAATAAATAAACAAACAAATATGTTTAATGTACACTGTAAAAAAAATCCTGGTTGCCTTAAAGTTTTAGGCAGAATTAAATTAACCTTATGAGCCCATTGAACTTATATTATGTTAAACTGAAGTAAACAGCTTGCATTACTTATAAAATTAAGTTAGAACATGATTAACTTAGTTTAATAAGTTACAATGAACTAAAAACATTTGTTTTCATGACTAATTGATCATATATTTTTTACAGTTTTTTTTTACAAGTCAAGCCACGATTAAAGCAATCCACTGTATTCTCTACTTATATATAATTATCATACATATTACACTTTTATAATTCAATACATCATGGAAATGTAGTTTTTTTTTTACCAATAGCTACGAGATACAATGAATATATAAGCTGTCCATTCATTTAATTTATTTGGTTGCAGATACTGTTACAGACGTTCACCCACCACCACCAGGTTGGCCCTGTCCAGGGAGGCATTCGTCCTTGGCAGTCATAGCTGTATTTAAAGGCTTTCAATTCAAGCTACGGATGGGGCCTCCAACAAAAAAATCCTATGTTTGTTAAATTATACTTTTGTCAAATAATACTCATCAAATAAATGTAATTGAGTATCATATTGATCTCCCTGGCCTTTGTGATAGAAACTAAATGACTTTTTCTAATACACACATATCATCTTAAAGGGAGAGTACACACACAAAATTTAATTATATCATCATTTACTCCCCATTTTACTCAAAAGCAGATATTTTGTTGTGTATGCACCCTGTATGTACACTTGCTGTGCATTTGTTTGACGTTTGAGGAAATGTTTTCAGACTGCTAGCTATGTGTCTCTTCTGTTAAAGCCACAAAAGGGAAATTAGTGTTGGGGATGTTTGTAAAAAATCAAAATAATGCATCTAGATAAATTTAAAATTAAAAATCAATAATGCTAGAAGAGAAAATGTGTCAAGCAAATAACAATAGGCTTTATTTAGTATATATATATATATATATATATATATATATATATATATATATATATATATAATCGTATATGGCGACACGGTGGCTTAGTGGTTAGCACTGTCGCCTCACTATAGGTGAATTGAGTAAGCCAAATTGGCCTTAGTGTGTCTGAGTGTGTATGAGTGTTTCCAAGGACTGGGTTGCAGCTGGACGAGCATCCGCTGTGTAAAATATATGCTGAATAAATTGGTGGTTCATTCCGCTGTGGTGACCCCTGATGAATAAAGGGACTAAGCCAAAGGAAAATGAATGAATGACTATAACAGCATATATATAAAGCATAATTTGATGCCACTTCAATGCAGTACAAAGCCACCATTTACACCAGGTTACTTTACTTTTATAATCTGACCTTCCCTCACACACAAGCATAAGGACAACCTGAGTCGACCTAGGCATAACCTCTTATTCTGCCTTCACCCTGTACACCCTGGTCACACCACCTCCCCCATCTCTCACCGTCATCCCTTCCTTCACATGTACACATGCTCACACTCATCTGCTTTCAGATTACCACAGATGAGCGCAATCCAATTTACACCAGTAAAGCCGAACTACAGTGCAGACAAGCTGTAGTTGATCAGCAGCCAGAGGCGTTTTACATGTAAAAAAAGGGTCCCATCGCTGGCGCTCAAACACTCATATGCAAAGAAGACTAACCAAATATGTGTGCTTCCTGATGCCCAAGTGTGACTGACCCCTGCCGATAGCATGGAAATCAATACTACGAATCCAATTCAGATCAAATATGTGTGTTTTACTGTAGTATATATGCAATTATGCCAAAAGAGTGAGGCGAAGAGGGACTACTAACAGGCTTTCTCTGCCATGCTAAGCCAATTCACTAATCCACAGCCAAAGCATATGGGGAGGTTGAGAGGAAGAGAGAGACCCCCCCTCACTCAAAAGAGAACCTCAGGACAGGCTTGGCTTAGTGTGACAGATAGAAGAAAGCCTGGAAGAAGGGTCACCAGCAAAGGGCTGAAGGGTCACGGAGAGATGCTACAGGACAGAGAGGGAAAGATAAGACAAGTTAACCCGCAACCTTTCTCGTATGATACATTGGCGCTCAAAGCAAGAGCACAAAGAGCAAATCCACACGACCAAAGGAGAACGGGAGAGATGTAAGCAGGTCTCTCTTGAGGAAAGAGAGGAGAGGCTGCCGTCCAGCCTCCCATCTGTTAACCATGCTTCTCTTCCTCTGCCACAGAGCATAAGTGTGGTGGGGGAATAAGGAGAAACCGTGGGGGAAATGGAGAGAGAGATGGGGGAGCCGGCAATGGGATGTAATGAGGTGCTGTGTTTTTTTTTTCTTCTCCTTTTTCGGTACGTTTCTCTCTCTCTCCCTTTAAGAAATGGAACTGTGAGGGCAATGAGTACGTTCATAAACAGCCACAATTCTGGGTCGGCTTGGTCCCTAGTGTTCCACCAAAAGAGAAAAAAAATATTTTGCTCGCGATTGTATTGTCAAAGTCCTAATAAAGTGAATATGACTTCTTCTCTGTGCTCAGCGATATAATTTTGTTAGGGGAAAAAAGAAACAAAGCAATTTTTTATTTCTCTAAGGGGTCTCGTGCTGAGAATGAAAAATGATTAAGATGCAAATACCATGAATTATATTTGTAAAAAAAAGTAGAGACTGAATCTGATAATGAAACACTTGTTTTGATGAGATATACAACTCTGACAGGTTTCGCTCTCATCTGGTTGTACAATATCGTGCTGCTTGGCTACCAACACACTAAAGTCATCAGTGTGTTATTACAGCAATCAGACAGGAGCTGATCTTTTAAGAAATTGACCTCAGCACTATGTTGCCACCCTTCGTAAACTCTCTTATTTCCACTTTCCCTCTTTTCTTTTCTTTTCTTCGCAGCACATCTGCAAGACATTTGGTACTAGCGTATGTTTGAAAAAAAGGGCAGTATCCTCTATCCTCATGGGGAAATGTGGTCGCGAAGATTTGAAATAACATATTACAGGGCAGAAAGTAAACCTTTTAGGAGGTGCATGATACATT